ACACGACCGCTGGATGACACCGGGAGAGAGCACTGGCCTCTGGCTGCGACTAGTGCTGCCTCGACCCCTTCCTCTGCTGCCACGTCTGCTCGCTCCTGAAACATTGCCTCCTCTGCCACTCCCTCTGCGTGTTGTCTGACATACTCTTTAATTCAATAAGCACCCCAAAAAATAAAACCGGATTTAACTCTTTGAACGTACAATAGTGGTTGTGTGAAGCAGAAAGTCAGTTTATTGTTACACAATCGGTCAATTGCAGCTTGCCGTTTGGCTGGAAACTGTACGTTTTATGTCACTGGAATGCACTAATCACCCAAAAAATTTTACCGCCACCCGGCGTGTAAATGGATCTAACTCTTTGAACGTACAATAGTGGTTTGTGAAGCAGAAAGTCAGTTTATTGTACACAATCGGATCAATTGCAGCTTGCCGTTGGCTGGAAACTGTACGTTTCTGTCACTGAATGCACTAATCGCCCAAAAATATTACCGCCACCCGGCGTGTATATGGATTTAACTCTTTGAACGTACAATAGTGGTTGTGAAGCAGAAAGTCAGTTTATTGTACACAATCGGTCAATTGCAGCTTGCCGTTGGCTGGAAACTGTACGTTTAGGTCACTGGAATGCACTAATCACCCAAAAAATATTACCGCCAGCCGCGTGTAAATGGATTTAACTCTTTGAACGTACAATAGTGGTTTGTGAAGCAGAAAGTCAGTTTATTTAGCACAATTCTGGTCAAATTGCAGCTTGCCGTTGGCTGTAAACTGTGCGTTTTATGTCACTGGAAATGCACTAATCACCCAAAAAATATTACCCCGCACCCGGGCGTGTATATGGATTTAACTCTTTGAGAACGTAACAATAGTGGTTGTGAAGCAGAAAGTCCAGTTTATTTAGCACAATCGGTCAATTGCAGCTTGCCGTTGGCTGGAAACTGTACGTTTATGTCACTGGAAATTGCACTAATCACCCAAAAAAAAATTACCGCCACCCCGGCGTGTAAATGGATCTAACTCTTTTGAACGTACAATAGTGGTTGTGAAGCAGAAAGTCAGTTTATTGTACACAATCGGTCAATTGCAGCTTGCCGTTGGCTGGAAACTGTAACGTTTGTGTCACTGGAATGCACTAATCACCCAAAAAATATTACCGCCACCCGGCGTGTATATGGATTTAACTCTTTGAACGTACAATAGTGGTTGTGAAGCAGAAAGTCAGTTTATTTAGCACAATCGGTCAATTGCAGCTTGCCGTTGGCTGGAAACTGTACGTTATGTCACTGGAATGCACTAATCACCCAAAAAATATTACCGCCACCCGGCGTGTAAATGGATCTAACTCTTTGAACGTACAATAGTGGTTGTGAAGCAGAACAAGTCAGTTTATTTAGCACAATCGGCCTCAATTGCAGCTTGCCGTTGGCTGGAAACTGTACGTTTATGTCACTGGAATGCACTAATCACCCAAAAAAAATTACCGCACCCGGCGTGTAAATGGATCTAACTCTTTGAACGTACAATAGTGGTTGTGAAGCAGAAAAGTCACGTGTTTATTTAGCACAATCGGTCAATTGCAGCTTGCCGTTGGCTGGAAACTGTACGTTTGTGTCACTGGAATGCACTAATCATCCAAAAAATATTACCGCCAGCCGGCGTGTAAATGGATTTAACTCTTTGAACGTACAATAGTGGTTTGTGAAGCAGGAAAGTCAGTTTATTTAGCACAATCGGTCAATTGCAGCTTGCCGTTGGCTGTAAACTGTGGTTTATGTCACTGGAATGCACTAATCACCCAAAAAATATTACCGCCACCGCCGGCGTGTATATGGATTTAACTCTTTGAACGTACAATAGTGGTTGTGTGAAAAGCAGAAAGTCAGTTTATTTAGCACAATCGGAGCTCAATTGCAGCTTGCCGTTGGCTGGAAACTGTACGTTTATGTCACTGGAATGCACTAATCACCCAAAAAATATTACCGCCACCCGGCGTGTAAATGGATCTAACTCTTTGAACGTACAATAGTGGTTGTGAAGCAGAAAGTCAGTTTATTTAGCACAATCGGTCAATTGCAGCTTGCCGTTGGCTGGAAACTGTACGTTTATGTCACTGGAATGCACTAATCACCCAAAAAATATTACCGCCACCCGGCGTGTAAATGGATCTAACTCTTTGAACGTACAATAGTGGTTGTGAAAGCAGAAAGTCAGTTTATTGTACACAATCGGTCAATTGCAGCTTGCCGTTGGCTGGAAACTGTACGTTTTGTGTCACTGGAATGCACTAATCACCCAAAAAATATTTACCGCCTAGCCGGCGTGTAAATGGATTTAACTCTTTGAATGTACAATAGTGGTTGTGAAGCAGAAAGTCAGTTTATTTTTGCACAATCGGCAAACTGCCAGCACCAACTCCGTGTGCACGACAGCCACCAAAAAAAAAAAGGGTGTATGTCACTTTAAATTTTCGATTCTTTGATAGCTGTGGCCCTAAGTAACGATTCTGTGTCCCTGAGTAACGATTCTGTGTCGCTGAGTAAATAACGATTCTGTGTCCCTGAGTAACGATTCTGTGTCCCTGAGTAACGATTCTGTGTCCCTGAGTAACGATTCTGTGTCCCTGAGTAACCGATTCTGTGGCCCTAAAGTCTCTGTGGCCCTAACTCTGTCCCTTCATACACACTGGTCTGTCTCTCTTGAATGACCGGAGGCTAATGGAGAATTCTAAGATGGCCGCGATTTATAGCTCCACCATTACACAGTGCTGGCTGGCTGGCTGCTGCTGATTGGCTAATGCGATCACATGTCATGAATGAATGCATTATGGGTCAGCGCGCCTTGTCTGCGCGCCTTCCCAGAGATCCCCGCTCCGTCGCCACACATGTCGCCGCCATTTTTTGGAAAATTCAATTCGTGCATCCGAAGTGTGCTAATCTTCGGATTCGGCGGCGAATCGAATTTTTCAAAATCTTCGGAACGAATTCCACTTCGTCATGTTCGATTCGCTCATCTCTAATCACAAATATAGCTATAGAATAGTGGAAATATTGTAATAGTTAACAAATAGGTGATCTGTATTGGTAGTTGATAACCTGGTGTCTCATTCTTAAACAAACATTTCACTGTACCCATTGAAGGTATTCTTTCTTTAAAGATTCTGCTGACAGAAAGTTTGAGATGCTTTTAAAGGCTCTCTTTACTCTTGTACACCCAGCTCCGCAACCAGCTATTGCTGCAATTTCTATTTCTCAAACTGCAGCTAATTGGACTAGGGCCAACAACCAACAGGATCATTGTATTCCAGAATAATGCTTTGGTGAGATACTTACAGAAATTACCCCCCGCTTTCTCTTTTATGTTGGTGCAATAGAGAACAAGTCATTACACAAATCTACAGAATGGCTTTGATTTCTGTCCATATGAGCAGTTTTTTGGGGGCTAAAGCCTGGACAGCTGAAGCTACCTATAAAAGACAACTCACACATATGCCCTTTTGAAAGAAGGACATCTCTTCCTTTCAGCGAAAGACTTTGAACACAAAAACCACCAATTCTACCCAAAGCCCTTCTCCCAGTGAAGGGATGCCCTCGCTGATGAGAGGACATTCATGGAAATGTGCCTCTCTCTGGGTCACAGATGTTCCAAACCTGTGGGTTCAATTGGTGGTTTCAAAGAGGTACAAAATAGAGTTGCAAACGCTACCCCATGATGTTTTCTTCCCTCAAATCAACCAACATCTGGTCAAGGACAGTCAGATTACAGAATACATCTTGTGTCCCAGGGAGTGGTCATTCTAGCACCCCTGGAAAACATGTTCAAATAATTCTATATAAACCTGTTAATGATACCAACTGGGTTATTTGGACTATCCTGAACCTAAAATTCCTTAACAAGTACCTTCAGATTCCAAAATTTCATATGGAATCTGCAAGGTCATTTATTGCCTTTCTGAGACAAAGGGAATACTTAACGTCTATAGACATCCAAGATGCCTATCTGCATATTTCCATATGTCCACCACATTGGCACTTTGTGAGCTTTCCAGTAAGAGAAAGACTTTAGTCTTACTGCTCTATCCTCAACTCCCAGGGTATTCACAAAGGTGCTTTCAACCCCGCTTGCTCTTTTTAGTTTAATCTGTTTTTATTATACATTTCCACAAGTACAAAAAGAGAACATACACATCGACCAAAAGTGGAAAGAGTGGAAAGCGGTTAATCAAGTTTATCTGTTCTAAGATACAAGCACACAGAATATAATGCTTAGGTAGAGATAATTTGAAGGTAAAACAATGAGAAACAAAAGCGCTCCAACAGACAGTGTCATGTAAAAGTTATATATATATATATATATATATATATATATATATATATATACACACACAGTGCTCAGCATAAATGAGTACACCCCAAAAGATTTCTCAGAAAACCTTTACTTTCCTTTCAGAATCAACATTTTCTGTGGGACACTATAATACAAAATACTCCTACAAATGCAGGCCATTGATTGCAGATAAGATTTGTTAATTTGCACAAACAATATAATATTTTTCCTAACAAATTCATTCAAGACCATGTTGCAAAAATGAATACACCCAATGAAAGTCTTAGGAGCAAAGTTAAATTTTAGACAACAAAGTCCTAATGAAAAAGAATTCAACTACAGGTGAATCTACACTTATTCCTTCCTGCCCAAGCCAATTTTCAGCTTTCAGCACTGTCACGCTTTGAATGACAATTGCGCGGTCATGCAACACATATGACATTTTTATCATTTTTTTGAGAGAGATAGAGCTTTCTTTTGGTGGTATTTAATCGCCTCTGGGTTTTTATTTTTTGTTAAACAAACCAAAAACAACTGAAAATTTTCTTAGTTTTTGTTATACAATTTTGTAAATAAGTGATTGTTCTCCTTCACTGATGTGCACTAATGAGGCTACAGTGATGGGCACTGATAGGCTGCACTGATGGGCATTGATGAGGAGGCACTAGTAGGTGGCACTGATGGGCATTGACAGGCATCACTGATGGGCACTGAAAGGCAGCACTCATATATGGCACTGATAGGTGGCACTGATAGGTAGCACTGATAGGTGGCACTGACTGGCACTGATAGGCGGCACTGATGGGCACTGATATGTGGCATTGATGTGGCACTGATGGGCACTGGCAGGTGGCATTGATGATCACTGACAGCAGGCTATGATGGGCACTGACAGGTGGCACTGCTGGGGCTACACTGATCATCAGGGCACAGCGTGACAGCTCGTGAGGAGAGAAATGCCGATAACTGACATTTCCATATTTACATGCGATCAGCTGTAATTGGACACATCTGATCACATGACCGAGCCGACATCTTCGGCTCTTTCCATTGATCGGTGATCCGCTGTGTCCGAGGGACACAGCGTACCACCGATCGCCGTGCTGCACGCTCCCGGAGCCGTGCATGCGCGGTTAGAGTTGGAGAATGTCATTGTAACGTACCTGGTGGTGGAGCCTGATGTGAAGAGAGGGTATCCTCTTACCACTCCCGTTCGGGACCCCTGATAGGGTAAACAGGAAGTAACGAGCTGGGAGGGGCACGAGTGCCTGACAGGTCTGCGGTGACAGCTGGCAGATGAAGACCCGGAATACCAGGATGCAAGTAGCAGGATGCAGGTGAGCAGGTGCAGCAGAGAGGTGTAGCTGAGATGCGGATGACCGTGTCAGCTGGTAGCCAAGGATAGTCACAGGCAGTGTAGAATAGTCAGGCAGGCTGGGTCAGGATCGATCGGACGGATCAGGTACAGAGGAGCAGGATTAGGTACTGAGGGTTTGAGCAATGATACGTGAATGTATCTTCAGTGTTTCAGGCAAAGTGAGTTCATACGATACGTTGTTTATCCTCTTCTTTACTGGGAAAGGTCCCAGGAATTTGGGACCGAGTTTCCTTGAGTAACATGTCAATCTTAAATTTGTTGTAGACAGCCATACCTCTTCACCAGGCTCTAGGATCAGGTCCCCCTTTCTTTTCTTATCAAAACATTTTTTATTATCTTGTTGGGCCTTCAGGATTGCCTCCTGTAGTAGTTTGTTGTTCCGTTGCAGGAACCCAAAGGTATTCTGTACTGCTGGGATCGATGATTCAGGCAATGTGTTGGATGAGAATGACGGATGGAATCCATAGTTTGAGAAGAATGGAGATTGCTTTGTAGCTGAGTGCTTAGAATTGTTATAAGCAAATTCGGCCAAAGGCAACAATGACACCCAGTCATCCTGAGAAAATGACGTAAAACAACGGATATATTGTTCCAGTGTCTGGTTTGTTCTTTCTGTTTGTCTATTAGTCTGGGGATGATAGGCAGATGAAAATGATAGTTCTATTCTTAGTTTCTCACACAGTGCTCTTCAAAATCTTGAGGTGAACTGTACTCCTCAATCGGAAACAATATTTCTTGGAACTCCATGAAGTCTTACTATTTCTTTAATAAAACGTTGGGCTGTCTCTGTTGCAGAGGGTACTCCTTTCATAGGAACGAAGTGGGCCATCTTTGAGAAGCGATCCACCACAACAAAGATGGCCGAACAACCCTCAGATGGGGGTAATTCCATGATGAAATCCATGGAAATCATCTTCCAGGGTTGATTGGGGACTGGTAAGGGCCTCAGTAGTCCCCATGTTTTGCTCCTATTGGTCTTGTTTTCTATGCATGTAGGACATGAGTTTACGTACGCCTTGCAGTCCTTCTCCCATTCAGGCCACCAGAAGTGGCATTGTATTAGGTCTAGAGTCTTGTGGACTCCAACGTGTCCTGCCAGCGGATGATCATGACATAGCCCTAAGATCTCCAGCTGTACACGTTCTGGTGCATAAAATCTTGTCTCCTGACCACACAATAAGCCTTCTTTAGCCAATAGGGTTACTCCTGGAAGTGTGGGAGCCACCATTGATGCTTGCTGGACTTGTGCCAACAGTTCTGTTTGTAGGAGACAGAAGTTTCCTGCTGGGAGCACTTTGTCGGGAATGGGGAGATCCTTAGGATCGTCGAACATCTGGGACAAGGCATCGGGTTTAACATTCTTGGATCCTGGCCTGTAGGTAATATGAAAAGTGAAACATGAGAAGAAGAGTGCCCCCACCTTGCTTGCCGGGGTTTTAAATGCTTAGCCGTCTTCAGGTATTCTAGGTTCTTGTGATCTGTATAGATTCGGATGTAGTGTGCTGCTCCTTCCAAGAGATACCTCCACTCCTCCAAAGCCGATTTGATTGCCAGCAGTTCCCTATCTCCCATATCATAATCCCTCTCTGGGGGAGACAGTTTGCAGGAAAAGAATGCTACCGGGTATAGCAGAAGTTTTAGGCCCTGCAGCTGTGATAGCCCTTGATGAGTCTCCTATAGAAATTTGCAAATCCAATGAAACGTTGTACTCCCTTTTTGTCTGCTGGTGCAGGCCACTCCGAGATGGCAGAAACCTTCTGATGATCCATCCTGAACCCCTCTGTGGAAATTATTGTGGAAATTAATTAATCCAAGGAATTGGATGCTTTGGCATTCGAATTCACACTTCTCGGCCTTGGCGTAAAGACCATAAAGTCTTAGGCAGCTGAGGACTCTCTGTACGTGGTCTCAGTGGAGTTCAAGGGAAGCAGAGAAAATTAAAGTGTCATCAAGGTACACTATAATGAAAATGTCTAGGAAATTTCTGAAAATGTCATTTACAAAATTCTGGAATGTTGCTGGGGCATTGCATAGGCCAATGGGCATTACTAGGTATTCAAAATGCCCAAATCTGGTGTGAAAGACAGTCTTCCATTCATCCCCCTCTCGGATACGTACCAGGTTATAAGCTCCCCTTAGATCCAGCTTAGTGAACAGGGTTGCATATCTCAGCCTCTGAAATAGTTCTGGAACCAATGGTAGGGGGTATCGGTTCTTGATGGTGATATTGTTTAGCTCATGGTAGTCCACACAGGGACGAAGAGAATGATCCTTCTTCTCTACGAAGAAGATACCAGCTCACGCCGGGGAGGTAGATGGGCGGACAAACCCCTTTCTCAGACTGTCGTCGAGGTACTCCTTTAGTGCTCCTAATTCCCGCTCTGACAAAGGGAAAATCCGACCGAAGGGAATTCCAGCCCCAGGCAGTAACTCGATTGGGCAGTCGTATGGTCTGTGTGGTGGGAAGGAGTCAGAACCACGTTTATTAAAAACATCCAGGAAACTATGATAGGCCGCTGGGACTATTTGGTGTACTTCAGATTCTGTGTCAATACTTAGGAGGGATCTGGATGAAGCCAAGAGTTGGGGCAGTGTCAGGAATGGACTGGCCAGCAATGGTGGGACTCACCTGCCTTATGGGCTGCAGTACCAGGGCTGGCCAGCGGGTGCTCCCAGCAACCAGAGACTCAACCTTGCAGCCAGCCAAACACCTGGAACTGATTATACTGGTGTATTTAAGGGATGGCCAGACCTGCAGACTCTGCCTTGGTGTGTGTTTCTCCTGGGCCCTGTATCCTGTTCCTGCTCCCTGTTCCTGTTCCTGTCTGATTTGTTGCTGACCCTGCTCTGATCCCTGGCTTAGTCTGACCATTCTCCTGCTCCTGATCCCTGGCTTTGTCTGACCATTCTCCTGCTCCTGATCCCTGGCTTTGTCTGACCATTCTCCTGCTCCTGATCCCTGGCTTTGTCTGACCATTCTCCTGCTCCTGATCCCTGGCTTTGTCTGACCATTCTCCTGCTTAACCCCATACGTTCTGACCTCCTGTTGATAATCCCGGCCTGCCTGACGACGCTTGCATTGTATGTACTGATATCTGTGGGTGGTTTGGTTTGGTTCGTTTGCACTGTGTTATGTTTTAGTATTGCACTGCGTTTATGTATTGTTAGTGTTAATAAATTATATTTATAACATATCTGAAGCCTGCGTTTCCCTGCGTCAGTCACATACCTCTGGTCACACCCTAGAGCCCTGACATTACACCAAGGCCAATCCTGACCAGAAGTGGCTGCACAGGGAAGCCATCTTGGTTTGTTGATGGGAAGGATGGATCTTGATGAGGTTGTGTATTTATCTCTGCTAGTGTTTGATGACAGAGAGTATGCTTATCAAACTCTGAAGGAGTATCCCCGGGATGAACTGCTAGAATGTATACGGCTCGCTCATGTTCTAGTAGATCAGGGCACAGAATTCTCTGAGGTGCAGCCATTGATTCAGATTTGTGCGGAGTTGGTTTCATCTGGTACCCCCGAATGCAGGGATGAATTTTTGCCGCCATTTAGTGCCGACCAGGTAGAGTCCCTGGTATGGTTATTAGAGGATGATGTGGATTGCTTCTTGGAGCATTATGCTGCATGTTCACCACAGATACTAAGAGATTGTATAAACGCAGTGCAGTCTTTGGTCAGACAGGCTTTGTGTAAGCTTCAACCCATACTGCAGACATGGACAGATTTGTTGCACCCAGCCTCAGTCAGCCTACAAAAACCCAGTCCTGCTTCTAATCTAATTCCGTTTGAAGACCTGCGTTTACTTGCAGTGCTCCAGTAGTTTAAAACCAGAAAAAAAGCAAAAATTCTTTCCAACCAGTACCGTCCTGCCAGTATCCAAACCGGTCAGCCTGCCATCTGAGAACCGGCCTTCCATGGTTCAGCCTGGTGCCTCGGCACCCGCACTTCAGCCTGAGGTCTGTACCCAGGCAGATGCCTGTACCCAGCCTGATGCCTGTACTCAGCCTGATGCCTGTACCCAGCCTGATGCCTCTATTCAGCCTGATGCCTCTATTCAGCCTGATGCCTCTATTCAGCCTGATGCCTCTATTCAGCCTGATGCCTGTACCCAGCCTGATGCCTCTCTTCAGCCTGATGCCTCTCTTCAGCCTGATGCCTCTCTTCAGCCTGATGCCTCCACTCAGCCTGATGCCTCCACTCAGCCTGATGCGTCCACTCAGCCTGATGCCTCCACCCAGCATGATGAACTGATCCAGCCTGATGATCCTATTAGGCCAGTTGACTCGATGCCCGCTGTTGATCCAGACGATCCGGTACCTGATCCGGTGCCCGCTGTTGTGCCAATTGACTCAGAGCCCGCTGTCGTACCTGGTGACTCGGTGCCCACTGCCTTGCCAGATGACGCGGTGCCCGCTGGCGAGCCAAATGACCTGATGCCTGGTGACCCAGTGCCCGCTGTCATACCTGGTGACCCGATGCCCGCTGTCGAGCCAGACAATCCGGTACCTGATGACCCGGTGCCCGCTGTTGTGCCAATTGACTCAGAGCCCACTGTCGTGCCTGGTGACTTGGTGCCCATTGTCTTGCCAGATGACGCGGTGCCCGCTGTTGAGCCAAATGACCTGATGCCTGGTGACCCGATGCCCACTGTCCAGCCAGACGATCCAATGTCTGACCCAGTGCCCGCGGTCATACCAGTTGACTCGGAGCCCACTGCCTTGCCAGATGACGCGGTGCCCGCTGTCGAGCCAAATGACCCGATGCCCGCTGTCCAGCCAGACAATCCAATGTCTGACCCAGTGCCCGCGGTCATGCCAGTTGACTCGGAGCCCACTGCCTTGCCAGATGACGCGGTGCCCGCTGTCGAGCCAAGTGACCTGATGCCTGGTGACCCGATGCCCGCTGTCCAGCCAGACGATCCAATGTCTGACCCAGTGCCAGCGGTCATGCCAGTTGACTCGGAGCCCACTGTCGTGCCTGGTGACTCGGTGCCCTCCGCTCCGCCTGGGGGCCCGAGACCTGTCGCTCCGCCTGGGGGTCCGGTGCCCGCCGCTCCGCCTGGGGGTCCGGCGCCCGCCGCTCCGCCTGGGGGCCTGAGACCTGTCGCTCCGCCTGGGGGCCTGAGACCTGACGCTCCGCCTGGGGGCCTGAGACCTGTCGCTCCGCCTGGGGGCCTGAGACCTGTCGCTCCGCCTGGGGGTCCGGCGCCCGCCGCTCCGCCTGGGGGCCCGATGCCTGTCGCCCCTCCTGGGGGCCCGGCGCCCGCCGCTCCGCCTGGGGGCCCGGCGCCTGCCCCCCCTCCTGGGGGCCCGATGCCTGTCGCCCCGCCTGGGGGCCCGATGCCTGTCACCCCGCCTGGGGGCCCGATGCCTGTCACCCCTCCTGGGGGCCCGATGCCTGTTGCCCCTCCTGGGGGCCCGGCACCCTGCCGCTCCGCCTGGGGGCCCGATGCCTGTCGCCTCGCCTGGGGGCCCGATGCCTGTCGCCCCGCCTGGGGGCCCGATGCCCGTCGCCCCGCCTGGAGGCCCGATGCCCGTCGCCCCGCCTGGGGGCCCGGTGCCCGTCGCCCCGCCTGGGGCCCGGTGCCCGTCGCCCCGCCCGAGGACCCGGGCCCGTCGCCCCGCTCAGGGGGCCCGGTGCACGTCGCCCCGCCCGAAGACCCGGTGCCCACCGCTCCGCCCGGTGGCCCGCTGCCTGCTGCTCCGCCTGGTGGCCCGCCTGCTGCTGCTTCGCCTGGTAATCCAATGTGCCTCTGCCTGGAGAGTCCAGCCCGATGTGCCCGCCGCCCCGCCTGGGGGCCCGATGCCTGTCGCCCCGCCTGGGGGCCCGATGCCTGTCGCCCCTCCTGGGGGCCCGATGCCTGTTGCCCCTCCTGGGGGCCTGTTGCCCCTCCTGGGGGCCCGGCGCCCGCCGCTCTCTGCCTGGGGGCCCAATGCCTGTCGCCTCGCCTGGGGGCCCGATGCCTGTCGCCCCGCCTGGGGGCCCGATGCCTGTCGCCCCGCCTGGGGGCCCGGCGCCCGCCGCTCCGCCTGGGGGCCCGATGCCCGTCGCCCCGCCTGGGGGCCCGATGCCCGTCGCCCGGCCTGGCGGCCCGTTGCCCGTCGCCCCGTCGGGGGCCCGGTGCCTGTCGCCCTGCCGCCCGGTGCCCGTCGCCCCGCCCGGGGGCCCGGTGCCCATCGCCCCTCCCGAGGACCCAGTGCCCATCGCCCCGCCCGGGGGCCCAGTGCCCGCCGCCCCCGCCCGGTGGCCCGGTGCCCGCCGCTCCGCCCCCGTGGCCCGGTGTCCGCCGCTCCGCCCCGTGGCCCGCTGCCCGCCGCTCCGCCCGGTGGCCCGCTGCCTGCTGCTTCGCCTGGTAATCCGATGTGCCTCTGCCCGGAGTCCAGCCCGATGTGCCTCTGCCCGGAGTCCAGCCCGATGTGCCTCTGCCCGGAGTCCAGCCCGATGTGCCTCTGCCCCGGAATCCAGCCCGATGTGCCCGCCGCCCCGCCTGGGGGCCCGATGCCTGTCGCCCCGCCTGGGGGCCCGATGCCTTTCGCCCCGCCTGGGGGCCCGATGCCTGTCGCCCCGCCTGGGGGCCCGGCGCCCGCCGCTCCGCCTGGGGGCCCGATGCCCGTCGCCCCGCCTGGGGGCCCGATGCTCATCGCCCCGCCCGGGGGCCGATGCCTGTCGCCCCGCCTGTCGCCCGGCGCCCGAGGACCCGGTGGGGGCCCGTCGCCCCCGCCCGAGGACCCGGTGTGCCCGTCGCCCCCCAGGGGGCCCGGTGCCCGCCCCCCCCCCCCCTGTGGCCTGGGTGCCCGCCGCTCCGCCCGGTGGCCCGGTGCCCACCGCTCCGTGGTCCCGGTGGCCCGGTGCCCGCCGCTCCGCCCCGTGGCCCGCTGCCCGCCGCTCCGCCCGGTGGCCCGCTGCCTGCTGCTCCGCCTGGTGGCCCGCTGCCTGCTGCTTCGCCTGGTAATCCGCCTGTGCCTCTGCCCGGAGTCCAGCCCGATGTGGGCCCGATGCCTGCCGCCCCGAGTCTGGGGCCCGATGTGTCCGCCGCCCCGCCTGGGGGCCTGATGCCTGTCGCCCCGCCTGGGGGCCCGATGCCCGTCGCCCCTCCTGGGGGCCCGGTGCCTGTTGCCCCTCCTGGGGGCCCGGCGCCCGCGCCCCGCTCCGCCTGGGGGCCCAATGCCTGTTGCCTCGCCTGGGGGGTGCCCGTCGCCCCGCCCGAGTGTGCCCGTCGCCCCGCCCGGGGGCCCGGTGCCCGCCGCCCCGCCCGGTGGCCGGTGCCCGCGCCCCGCCCGGTGGCCCGGTGCCCGCCGCTCCGCCCGGTGGCTGCCCGCTTCGCCCGGTGGCCCGCTGCCCGCCGCTCCGCCTGGTGGCCCGCTGCCTGCTGCTCCGCCTGGTGGCCCGCTGCCTGCTGCTTCGCCTGGTAATCCGATGTGCCTCTGCCCGGAGTCCAGCCCGATGTGCCTCTGCCCGGAGTCCAGCCCGATGTGCCTCTGCCCGGAGTCCAGCCCGATGTGCCCACCGCCCCGCCTGGGGGCCCGATGCCTGTCGCCCCGCCTGGGGGATGCCTGTCCGGTGGCCCGATCGTCGCCCCTCCTGGGGGCCCGGGGCCTGGGGGCCCAATGCCTGTCGCCCGCCTGGGGGCCCGTGCCTTTCGCCCCGCCCGGGGGCCCGGTGTCCCGCCCCGCCTGGGGGCCCGGCGACCCGCTCCGCCTGGGGGCCCGATGCCCGTCGCCCCGCCTGGGGACCCGGTGCCGTCGCCCCGCCCGGGGGCCCGGTACCAGGTGCCCGTCGCCCCCGCCGGGGGCCCGGTGGCCGTCGCTGCCCGAGGACCGCTGCCCGTCGCCGCCCCGTGGCCCCGGTGCACGCCGCCCCGCCCAGTGGCCCGGTGCCCGCCGCTCCGCCCCGTGGCCCGCTGCACGCCGCTCCTCCCCGTGGCCCGCTGCCCGCCGCTCCCGTGGCCCGCTGCCTGCTGCTCCGCCCGGTGGTCCGCTACCTGCTGCTTCGCCTGGTAATCCGATGTGCCTCTGCCCGGAGTCTAGCCCAATGTGCCTCTGCCCGGAGTCCAGCCCGATGTGCCTCTGCCCGGAGTCCAGGGCAGGGCGGCACTCACAGGGAAAACCACATTTTAAAACGTGGTCCTGCAAAACAGGTAGGGGGCGCGCGCCCGCCCTACCTGTCCCGTGGGTGTCAGCAGCGGGTCCCAGCCGCCAGGTCACGGCCAGTGATTACCAGCCGTTTGGCCGCGATGAGCTGTGATTACTGACAGATAGCAGGGCTGCATTGTTTACACACAGCCCTGTTATCTGTCAGTTGCCGTCAGCTCGTGACAAGCTGCAGAGGGAGAGATGAGTTTCTCTCCCTCGATCAGCTCCCCCCTCCCTCCCCCCCTCCAGCACACACCCCCGCCCCCTAGTAAAACACTCCCCTCACACAGTGAACACTAAAAATGTTAACCCCTTTCTCCCCATTGCCATTAGTACAGTGTCAGTGGTTTTTTTTTTTTCACTGATCACTGTATTGGTGTCACTGGGGATGTCATTGACCCCAAGTCAGTTCCCCTCCAGTGTCAAAATGTCCGCCGCAGTCCCACCATAAGTCGCTGATCGCCACAATATGTCGCTGATCGCCACCATTATTAGTATAAATAAAATAAAAAATCCCAGTATCTTTCCCGCCATTTGTAAACACTATAACTTTCACGTAAACCAATTAATTTACACGTATTGGGATTTTTTTTTAGCAGAGACATGTCGCAGAATGCATTTTGGATGAAATTTGTGACAAAATTAGATTTTTTAATTTTTTTTTTACTGGACATGTTTTATAGCAAAAAGTCCAAAATATTGTTTTTTTTGTCTCAAAATTGTCAGCCTTTTTTTTTATAGCGCAAAAAATTAAAAACGCACAGGCGATCAAATACCACCGAAAGAAAGCTCAATTTGTGGAAAAAAAAGGATGTAAATTTAATTTGGGTGCAGTGTTGCATGACTGCGCAATTGTCAAAGTAACGCAGCGCCGTAACACAAACCTCTTCTGTAACCGCTTCCTTACCACCCTACAGCAGAAATACTGCTACAGGGCGGCATGGGTACGTAAAATCACATATATATATATATACGTAATTCGCGCTCCCGTGGTTTTCACACCCCTCCCAGATAGCGTCAGATTGCCCGACAGTACACCAGTCATCACATTTAACCCCTTGATTGCCAGGAGCACGCCCATGTACAATAAACCTCCATTGCTAGTATAGTGTCTGAACGGGTCAATACCTTTGATCAGATCAGCACTATACCAGCGTTCACATTAGTATAGCGTCCCCAAAAATGCAGCGTTAGCGGATCAGCCCCTGCACCTGCCAACACCTGCGTTAAGCCCCTACGCTTACCCCCCCCTTCTCCCCCAGCAAGTGCAGTGTCAGTAGGTCACTGTCACTTGATACATTGCACACAAAACCGCAGTGTTCGCAGAATCAGGCCTGATCTCTGTTAGCACTTGTCGGTAAATTTTGATGACTCTCATATGCAGCAGAGTGCCAGTACTAGTGCCGCTCTACCTTTTGGTGAACTGGCGAGTACCAGCGGTCTAGTACATCTTGGTCTTTCACATACCTCCTTGATTTTTGGAGCTGTTTTTTCACGGAATATCTGTATGCGTTGATTGTGGATCAAAGCAGTCTATATGCACAACAATTTTATCGCCGCCAACCCAAATTCAAACCTCGCCAGACCATTCGCATGGAAACTCATTACGGTTTTCAAATTTAAATTTTTTTTTGGGCCTAACCCTCAACATGGGCATTACTAAAAGAAATGAATTTCGGTTGTATTGGTCCGCAGACCCGATTCATCATATGCCGTGTTCTCTGCTGCCATGGCCAGGCATAGATATGAGAGTATAATGTGTTTTATACATTTCAGCGACAATACACTCTGTCATCCTCGGGGTAACCCTGAATTTGACGGCTCCACAAAATTCAGCCCCTCGCAAATCACCTTAACCTAA